CTAGGGTAGAAAGATGAACCTAGGGTAGAAAGATGAACCTAGGGTAGAAAGATGAACCTTTGGGTAGAAAGATGAACCTAGGGTAGAAAGATGAACCTTGTAGGGTAGAAAGATGAACCCAGGGTAGAAAGATAAACATACTCAATTAGTTTATCATTAATTTTATTCATTTCTTTTTTATTGAAATCATGAAGAAATTTTTGTTTTTACGCAAAACGCGTAGACAAAAAATATTTAAAAATGACCTTAAATTTTAAATAATATGAATGGGGTTATCTAAAACAACATTTTCTTTTTCCTATTAAAGCTGTGTATGAGAAATTTATTTATTGTTTTCATATTTTATAATGTAAAAGTGTAAAAACAACCACTTTCACAGTTAATAAAAAACCCGGAGATTTTCTGATATGATAATTTCTTAAATCTGCCAAACACGCAAAATCTGGCAAAAACTTGCAAAATTACAGTAATTATGCGAAAGGCAACGTTACAGTTCTAAGAATTTAGTCTAGTAAATGTAGAAGATGGGGGGGGGGGGTTAACCCAATCCCCCCCTCTGTGTTAAATTAACCTTTTGGTCTTTTTTCCAGTAGGTGCAAGATTGAAGGCCAAGGGACTGTAGGCCGTAGGGGCTATAAAGAGTCAAGAATAGAGAATAACACTGGATTCATACAATTGGTATAATTTAAGAAAGAATTTAATTTCATGTGGAATACTTGTACGACTTTATGGCCTTTCTGACCTAGAATTTTCACAAAAAAAATTGTTTGGACGCAAATAATGATTTCAATATGTTTATTTAATCATCATCCATTTTTATAAATCTATAGTTACGATAAAATTCTATTAAATGGATATCCAAAAACCTTTAAAGATATCAAAGCTTATGTTTTTATCGAATATTCGTTTTCATTAGGTTTTATTTCTAAGTAAGAAATAGATAAAGAAACTCCCCTCTAAAACCAAATCAAAGAAAATGAAAAATATCAATTTCCAAATTTTAAATCAGAGTTTTAATTTTCATCATCAACAGAAGCCTCAAATACTTACGATAATATGGTTTAAAGGGACTGTAAGCGTATATTCAAGTGATCCACAATGCAAAGATGGCCGTACCCGATTCACAACGGTACCCTTGATCAATAATGTTGAAGATATTGTCGTTTTTCTAGACTTAAACGTGTCCAATTTTGATGTTTCCTGTATGTTTTCCTTGCAATACAAATGCGCAAGTTTTTTTTGTACTTGACCAGACAAAGCTTTTATACGGGTATCGCTGTGAATCAGGCATTGCCATCTTACATCATACTGCAGAGTCCATTTAAGGTTATGTGGCAGGGTGTGAAAACCTATTAGTTTGCATCGCGCGATGAAAATGTAAAATTGATATATTTGAATTCTATAAATCTACTGGCTTGCAGGAACCCAGCGTAGTCATAGTTAGTCCCGCCGTTTTCCTGCACTTGGTCATAAATTACGATTACCGGCAAACAGAGTCTAGAGATTACAACTTTTACATAGATAATCTTACCTTCCGCTAGGCGAAACCTCAGTGTATAAAGGTTTCTTCTTTACAAACGGATACTTGGATCCATTTTTAACACTTCTCACTGTAGATTTTGTTCTTTTTATAGTTGATATGCCTTTAATACTTCTATACAGTTCCTCTTGCAGGCTTTCATGTTTATTATACTGCTTGCGGGGCAAGGGTGCGGATTTTGGGGGCGAAAACATGTTTAACCAAAATGTTTTTTCACTTGACTGTAATCTGTAAACTACTGGGAAAGGCGGAGTTCACATGTCTTTTGTTTTCTTTAATTTCTAATTTATCGCTGAAATCTACCAAAACTTTAATAAAAAATCTTCCAAATTTTATTATTGAAGCTTTATACGTTAACAAGTTTGTATTACACTGTTTGGTCTATAAAATCTAGAGATTAATCAGTAAACCTAAATACTGTGCATTTGCATACAAATCGGCCCGGAGGGATTTGAGTCACAACTTAACGGGTCGAGAACCAGAACTCAACTGAGAGCAAGCAGTTTCTCAGGGTTCGCGGTTCTACTGGTACAAGCTCCATACCTAGACTAGACCACTGATAAAGTGGGGCAATAATGAGTAGGGGGAGAAAGGGAAAAAGAAGAAAAATTAGGAGATATTCATGTACTTAAATTTTGATTTCATATAACTTTTTGTTTTGTTTTGATGTTTCTTTATAATTTCCAGTTTAAACTCCTCTCAAGTCTCTACTCTATATACAACAACAAAGAAAGAAATACTTATTTCTTAGAAATGGAGGAAAAGGAAAAAGTTGTACGGAAGAGGGATATTTGGGCATAGAGGGGGAGGGGGGGGGGTGTGTGGATTTTATCAATATTTAAAGTCACATATTTTTAAACAGTTATTAAGTCATTGAAGAGGATTAAACAAAAAGAACATGACCTAGCAACTTTCAAATAAACGGAATTTATTTTAAATAGTTTTCAGGTTTGTTTATTTTCTCTCTCATTGGAAGAAAGATTTAACCAATAGAAATAAGGAGCTTAACTGCTTTGAACCGATTTAAATTAAATCAAAAGTTCCCACCCCTTTCCCACCCCTATGTTATTTTTATCAACTTTAATATTAACGTAAATGTATGTGTAGGACTCTTGAGTCCACTTGACATTGACGTTTCTAAATTTGTTTAAAATGCTTCTTGTCTGATTGCTCAATGTAGTCAAAAATATCAAATTTAGATTAAAAAACAGGATGTGAGTCAGAACGTCAAAAGTCTTAACAGAAATTTAGTTTGGCATAGAGAAAAGTAGGGATTCAGGCAGTATGTCCATAACAGCTAGCCCAAACCCAGACATTTTTTCGATAGATAGATAGATCGATAGTATAGATAAATAGATATATATATTTATATATATATATATAGATAGTTAGCGAGATAAATAGATAGATATGTAGATAGATAGATAGATTCATAGATAGATATATAGGTAGATAGATAGATAGATAGATAGATAGATAGATAGATAAAACGTGATGAGATGAGAAGCTCCGGGTTTAAATATTCACTGAGATTAAGTTCAATCATGGGTGCACTTTCGTACAGGGTGGAGCAAAACAAGTTTTAACCATGGTCATAAAATTGCATACAAGGTGTAACATGAAAAGATTTACTGTACAAACTATGCACTGCAATTTTGGCTAACTATGGCGTAACAGTTTAAATTTTTCTTAAGTTTATAGTTTTTATTATATGCGCATCTTTATACAGGGTGTAATAAGTTTATTCTAACTTGCACTTTCCTTTGTGCACTTTTATGCTTTATTATTTGTTTACTTATCTCACAAAGTTTACTTATTGTATTCTTAAAGTAAGCAGTAAAAACATTTTTAAAATTTTACTTTAATGCATTGTATGTTGTAGCAAAATAATCATGTCGTTAACTTGCTAGTATGTTAGTATCAAAATATAGATGTTTAATATTTATAACGCTTAATAACGAGCCAGAAAACTGTTAATGAATGCTTTTTATTTTACTTTACTTTCTACTTTTATTTTTGAAAATATTCAGGTTCCTTAAACTATATAGTGCAGTTGTCTAATAAAAAAGTCCTCTGTGATATTTAATAAGTAAAAAAAGCATTCGATAATGTTGCAGTTGTGATCCTCAAAATACGTTCAATTTTTGGGCTATATTTACACCCTGTTCCGAATAGTAGTAAAAGGGAGAGATTAAGGGGGGGGGGTTGAATAAGATAAATTGACCCAAATATGTTTAATATTCAGAAACCTGAGAATCGGGCCAGGAATAGAATTTTACATTTTACGCACTGACATCTTATTTTTAGAAGATCCTCAAACCTTTTATACCATTTTCAAATTTTATGATTAAAAAAAATAAAAAATTGAAGAAAGTTTTAACGTTTTTAGGAACATGAGTAAACAGTAGAGGAAGGGTTTTCACGAAATGACCATATTTTTTGCGCAAATATTTTTTTGCTAACTTTTTCGCATCTTTGGCGCATGAAGCGTATTAAGTTTTGCACGTTTTTGAGCAATTTTTTGCGTAATTTGCGCAAAACCGGAAGTATTGCGCAAAATGTAAATTTTTTTCGCAAAACATGTTATTGCAAATTGACCCAAAATTACAGTTTCAGCACAGAATCAGACAAATGAAGGTTTATTAAAAATTTTACACACAAATAAATTATGATTATGCTGCTCTGAACTGGTTACTTTGAGTTATAAAATCTTAAAATTGAGGGCCAAAATAAAAAAACAGAAAATAGAAATTTAAAAAATTGAAATTAAATGCATAGTTTTTTAAAAATATCTTTTTAAAAAGTTCTCAACTTCCTCTTTATCTGTTTTAAAAATCCACAGTACTATATTGAACCCTGTTCATGTACTTCCTTGAATTTCTAGGATGTGAGTTATTTTTAATATTGAAATGACAAGGTAATATTCTTTAATGTTTGCAATCAATATACTTCAGTTGAATGTTTGTCAAATTTTGCACCTTTTTTCAATAAAAGTGTGTTAATTTATATAAAAGTAAAGTTTCCTTGCCTCTTGAGAATATTTCTGTACAAACCTGCCGAGTGTTGATTAAGTATAAAATAAAAACAGTCAAGGAAAGTAATTATGTAAAACAAAAGTACGGAGATTTCAACTTAAATATTTATATAATAAATCTCTATATATATATATATATATACAGTCAAGGAAAGTAATTATGTAAAACCAAAGTACGAAGATTTCAACTTAAATATTCATATAATAAAGCTCTTCGCTCATATATATATATATATACTTATTATGAGTAAATGTTAGCCATAGCTGGCCAAATGTCTGGACCGAACTGGCTGAACTTTTTTGAGGGAACCCTTAAGTACCCCGGGGGGTAACAGGGGCTAAAAGTTCGAAAAATTCACGGGCAGCGCCGAGCACATCAGCTGTTTAAGAATAAGTACAAGAAGCACGTTGTTTGCCCATCCCTAGTTATTAGTATAAAATTACTTTATTAGGCTTCTGACCTCAACTATCCGTTTAACCTTACTCTGAGGTTTGAATTGCTTCCTATATTTGGTTTGTTATGTAGGTCACGTGCAGGTCAGCTTTCAACTCATTTCATACACCGTAGAAATTACTTCCCCCCCTTTACATTTTGAGGTTGCCCCCTCCCCCTTCCCGACGATGCATAATGTTATTAGTTGATATATCTAGCCCTTACACATAATTTTTATTTCGAAACGTTTAATGATGTATGTTTCGTTTCCCTCTACTTATTTTGCTAGGCTACCATCCAACTTTTGACACTCCCCCCCTCATCATTCCCCTTATTATTCCTTTGTATATACCTTCATTTTAGAATCATGTATTAACATGATTGGAAACAGAAAGAAAGCAAACTTTGAAATTGTGTGTGTAGAAAACAAAATATCAAAAAATCAAAAAAAGGAAAAATGCAGTATTTTTTAATAATGCTGCAAATTAGAAATAATACGATAATGCATGTTTTTCGAAGCTACAGCCTTAATGTTCTGCTTAACTTGTATCTTTTTATCAATTTCTCTCTTACTGTTGTCTAATCTTTTTTTATTTCCATGTTTTTCGTTTGAACCTTCTGCTCATTGAGAAAGGAAATTAAGAGTTAAAGCTTATCTTATAATCCCCTGACTCCTGACATGTATATACAGCCTACCACCATATAACAAAATATTGACTACATCACGAGAAATGCGATTAAATTATATTTATATACAAGCTTACAGCTTGTTAGATACGTAAACAAATTAAGGTTGCTATGGGGTGATCTCAGGGGATTAACTCTCTATCTNATCTTGAAAAGACGACATCTAGTGTTCTTTCTGTGTTGCTATTAATACATGGGATTATCTTCTATCTTTTCCTTTTTCAATATTTCTTCTGTAACATAAGATGTATGCTTCATGTTTTGATTAATTTTTAAACATTTATTTTAACATGCAAATTTATTAAGCTCCTAACCATCTGAGATAAGAATACATTTATAAAAACATATTTTCAAGTTTTCTTTTGTGCAATTCTTCTACCTATAAGATATAAGACATAAATAAAAAAAGTAAAATAGCAAAAGAATTGAGTCATTACCACAAACTCTGCTTTTCTAAACCCTATATTTTTGGATTTCAATGTCGTAGACCTTTGATATTTCAAACTATGAATTCTGTTAGATCAAATAATATAAGTTTGAAATATCAAAGATTTACGATATTGGGTTCTAAAGATATAGGGATTTTAAATTCATAGTTTGTGGCTAAGACTCAATTTCTTCATCGCAAATGCTTTTTTGAAACGTTTAAAATCTTTTACATTTAAAAAACAACAACTACGTATAACTAGGTTTTCCTCCCAGAGAGTCTTAAAATTGTGAGCCTTGAGAGAGACTGGGAACTACAAAGGAAGGAGAAAGTCAAAAGATTTGAGTATTTGTCACAAACTCTGATTTTCTTATCCCTATATCTTTGCAACCCAATATCATAGACCTTTAATATTTCATAGTAGGAATTTCGTTGGATAAAATAATCTAAGTTCGAAATATCATAGGTTTACACCGTAAGGTTGCAGAGATATCGGGATTAGAACTTTTGAGTGTGTGGCAAAGACTCAATTCCTTTAACCAACACAACTTTGTGACCCTTTTTAGCTCCTCTAGTGTTAATTTATGAACGAACTTTATCCGATTAGCATATTAGCATATTAGCATCTTAGAATTCAATTTGTTCTTCTCAATAGCTCTCGTGATTGTGGTTGACAACTTTCAAGAATTCAATCTCTCCAAACTAAGCTGTGAACACTCGCACAAAAATTGAGCAGTATTTTGCAAGAATTATATTTGATAAGTTGTCAAGATTTTTGTAACGCAATTTTACGTTAGTTTGACGTGAGTAGAGAGAGTTGGTCTGGATCATGTATGGGAGCCAAGGATGATAA